AGATATCTACAGCAAGAGTAAAGCTGACTGTTTTACAGATCATGGACAGCCAGATATCTATAGCACAAGTATAGCCGACTCTTTTACAAACCACGATCAGCCAGATATCTACAGCAAGAGTATCGCTGACTCTTTTACAGATCACAATCACCTAGATATCTACAGCAAGAGTAAAGCTGACTCTTTTACCAAATCATGGACAACCAGATATCTACAGCAAGAGTATAGCGAACTCTTTTACAGATCATGGACAGCCAGATATCTACAGCAAGAGTATAGGTGACTGTTTTACAGATCATGGACAGCCAGATATCTACAGTAAGAGTATAGCTGACTGTTTTACAGATCATTGACAGCCAGATATCTATAGCACAAGTATAGCCGACTCTTTTACAAATCATGGACAGCCAGATATCTACAGCAAGATTATAGCTGACTCTTTTATAGATCATGGAAAGACAGATATCTACAGCACAAATATTGTCGACGCTTTAACCAAAACATGGACAACCAGATATCTACAGCAAGAGTATAGGTGACTGTTTTACAGATCATGGACAGCCAGATATCTACAGCAAGAGTATAGCTGACTGTTTTACAGATCATGGACAGGCAGATATCTACAGCACGAGTATAGCTGACTCTTTTACAGATCATGGACAGCCAGATATCTACAGCAAGAGAATAGCTGACTGTTTTACAGATCATGGACAGCCAGATATCTATAGCACAAGTATAGCCGACTCTTTTACAAATCATGGACAGCCAGATATCTACAGCAAGAGTATAGCGGACTCTTTTACAGATCATGGACAGTCAGATATCTACAGCATGAGTATAGCTGATTCTTTTACAGATCATGGACAGCCAGATATCTATAGCACAAATATAGACGACTCTTTTACAGATCACAATCAGCCAGATATCTACAGCAAGAGTATAGACGAATCTTTTATAGATTATGGACAGTCAGATATTTACCACATTAGTATAGCGGACTCTTTTACAGATCATAAACAGCAAGATATCTACATATTAGTATAGCTGACTCTTTTACAAACCACGATCAGCCTGATATCTACAGCAAGAGTATAGCTGACTCTTTTACAGATCACAATCACCTAGATATCTATAGCAAGAGTAAAGCTGACTCTTTTATAAGTCATGTAGAGCCTGATATCTACAGCACAAATATAGCCGACTCTTTTACCAAATCATGGACAACCAGATATCTACAGCAAGAGTATAGCTGACTCTTTTTTTAACAGATCACATTAAGCCAGATATCTATAGCAAGAGTATAGCTGACTCTTTTATAGATCATGGACAGACAGATATCTACAGCACAAATATAGCCGACTCTTTTACAAAATCATGGACAACCAGATAACGACAGTAAGAGTATAGCTGCCTCTTTTATAGATCATGGACAGCAAGATATCTATAGCAAGAGAATAGCGGCCTATTTTATAGATCATGGACAACCAGATATCTATAGCAAGAGCATAGCGGCCTATTTTATAGATCATGGACAACCAGATATCTATAGCAAGAGCATAGCGGCCTATTTTATAGATAATGGACAACAAGATATCTACAGCAAGAGTATAGCTGACTCTTTTATAGATCATGGACAGCCAGATATCTACAGCAAGAGTATAGCGGACTCTTTTACAGATCATGGACAGTCAGATATCTACAGCATGAGTATAGCTGATTCTTTTACAGATCATGGACAGCCAGATATCTATAGCACGAGTATAGCTGACTCTTTTACAGATCATGGACAGCCAGATATCTACAGCAAGAGTATAGCTGACTCTTTTATAGATCATGGACAGCAAAATATCTAAAGCAAGAGTATAGCGGCCTATTTTATAGATCATGGACAACCAGATATCTACAGCAAGAGTATAGCCGACTCTTTTATAGATCATGGACGGCCAGATATCTACAGCATGAAAACATTTTCATATCTATAGCTTGAATATCAATCATCCAACATTTTTTATTAGGCCATGGATTGTTGGATATCTTAAAACGAATATCTTCTGACTTTTTATCCAAACATGCAGATTAAGATATCTGCAGCCTAAACAATCTCCGACCATTTTACAAGACCATGAACAGCACAATTTCCCTGTTTTAATTACGAGCTTTCTGCACTAGATTTTTGCTGGAATGAGGTCACATACAGACAGCAATCTTACACAATACAGTACACACAGAGATTCCGTGTATAAAATCAATAAGGGCCTCTACTACAATGTCCCCAAGTGATTCGGTTTTAACTGTAACAGTATACTCTACAGTATACATTTAACAGGACAGCCCTTTGATTGGAAAACAATTGTAGATGCTAAAGATTGAAGCTTCAGGTGAAGCATTGGTGATGATGAATTCTGGTTTACTATTGTCATGAAAACTTGCTCAGAGCTCATTAATGCTTCAATATTAGATTCATTTCCACAATGATGTAACTCCACTTTAAATGTTACACTTATGATGGGTTAACCTGCAAAATAGTTATTCCAGATTCAAAATAATTGTATCAGGATAAACAGGGTCATCAAAATGTCCAAACATTACATATATGTCTTGGAACTCAAAGCACAACACCTTCATGTAAGCTGTAAGCATATCTAATAGAATGCACAAAATAAATACGTAGTTTAAAACCTGTTGAAGATTAATCTATGAAACTTACTGACATCAAACAGGATATTTTAACAATCTGTATATTTACATATGTAGGTGTATACAGAAATGACAGATTAACCTGTGTATTACCTACATTGATATCCTTAATATTTTTGATCATCTTCTGGTTCAATGGTGTCAACATATAGCTGTGGGTTGACTTTATATAATTAAGAATAACCTAATACAAATGCAAATCATTTCATTTTATATGCATTTTTTTCTTAATTTAAATTTTAATCTTAAGATGAGCCATATTCCTTTGTTATTAGATATACAACCTTCCCAACACCTGCACATCAGTGTCAAATTATTATAATTATTATTAACTTCACCAGACTAGGGCTCGCTACAGTATGTTGCTTTTCCCCGGGTAATATAATAGATATAAGCAGTGCAATAATGTACATATCTAAATCGGGGTAAGTATTTTCATACGTGAAGTGTATACATACATTCTTCTGTGTCATATTGTATATATGGATAAAATAAATTGTTAGCTGTTATTTTGTGCTGTAAAAAATTCAGTGTTAACAAATTTCACTTGTTGATTTTTAATTATAACATGCAATTATTCAAGGCATTTTTATTTTCTTTCTCCAAAATTACCTTTCTATCTTCAACTATGGAGTTTTGCTCATAACCACAAAACTAAGTTCTGTGGTACACCTATACAACCCTTCAGCTAATCACTTTTTTGATGGAAATAGTAAGTGAATATTTTTCAAATTTTTACTGCATTGATCATGACCTGACCCCTGGATTTGCCCAGTATTGGATAAGTATACGGTTAGGTTCAGATGTCACAGTTAGATTTGGCTGTAATATACAACGGTTCTTCCCTAACTCACAACAACAATGTTAGGGGTATTATTTCAGTTTAACTGTTAGTATTGAGTTAGTATTTATAACTGTTAAATTTGAACAACAAAGCTGTATCTGAAATGTATCTTTTCAGCACTGTTTTCATCAGTAAAATTAAATTTTTAAGTAGATGTGTTTTTCCTAATTTCGTAACTCGTACAATCAAAGTGATTACATTTTTGTTTGTTTCTAATTCCACGAATAATGAAGCTTTATGATTTTATTGAATTAATTAACAGTTAATTGCAAAGATTTTTTTTAAATGCAAAAATAAAGACTCTGAAATGAGCATATACTCTTTATACAAAATTCCAGTAGGCAGTTATAGTGTTAGAGCAAAATGCTGATTATCCAAACCTTAACCCTTTCACCACTGTACTGTAGACAATAAAGGACTCACCCAGATCAATGTATTGGAGAGTCTACTAAAGTTGCATAGGGGTGAAAGGGTTAAACTATTAACACATGGGTTGTGTCCTCCAATAAGTAGCTAGCTTCAATACTGTGTGACCAGCTATCAGAAGGACCACTTATTGGAAACATTTACCTGTCTTTGGTCGGGTTAGACTTTGACTGGCCATCAGTCTCTATAATTACAAACTCCCATCCGTAGAATGACTTGAGCAAGTCTACGGGCTCTTGACCTGTGCTACATCTGTAGACTTGCTCAAGTTCATACACAAGACAATAATCGTATAGACAGAGGACCAGTCCAGGTTCAGATAATCAGCTGTTTCTACTGTATTTCCTTACTAAACATTTTCCCTAATGTGTTTTTTTTTAGACTGACTTCCTGATAGTGCAATGATACATTACATACATACATGTACACAACAATTTAAGACAAGGTGCACAACAATCAATGACACGGTACACGACAAATCACGACAACATAGGCATTAAAATGTACCTTACAATATAACACCACATACTAACATGCAGCTGAAACAAGTGTGCTAATTCAATACATCACAAAGCCAATAGCCACAACAACCTTTGCAAAAGAACCCATAAGTGAAAGGATTCAATTACTAAGGGAGCTAACTCTCTACACACAGTATCTTCCTTTCCATTATTATCATAAGTTTGTTTTTGTTGAGGTGTTAAGTAATTAAAAACAGGATAACTAATAATTCAGGACTGGATTTTTGGTTATATTTTTTGTCAGCTAAGTAAAAACAAAAACAAAACATTAAAAAATATATACATGTGCTCAATTTTTGACAATATTGCTTATTATCTTTACAAATCAAAAAGGAAAATCATGTAAGCAAAACGAAGGTTTAAGATAAAGCTTTCTTCTGAAAACAATTTATGGACGTTCTTTTGCATAGGTTTTAAACAGAATCAAATATTGCCACAGCAAAACAAAAATCAACAAACACCAAAAAAAGTATGAAACACAAACATAATTGATGCACAAAAACAAGACTAACCTATTCCTCTCTGTGAGTTGATCGTTCATCAGAGAAAGACGTTTTGAGCTATCACCGGAGTTGCTCACCATATCGCTCATTTGTAGTTCCTTTGAACGGCAAAGACCAGGGGAGAAACATAATGATGAATCATAAAAAAATATATATTAGAAATTGGATTAATAGCTATGAAAATGAGGTCATGTGCCCAGACTGATGTCTAGTGAAAATGATGTGTTAATTTTTTTATGATAAAAAAAACAGAAATCTGATTATAGGTGAAACTACAGAGAAAGATCTATTTTTCACAGGTTACCTGATAAAATGGCGTGTGGAAGGGTCGTAATGAGACTTTGGTTTCTGCTGAGAAAGTGAAGAATGGGGAACATACATTGAAAAAGTGGTAAATATTTATCTAAGCTACAGATAGATTTAAATTCTACAAACTTAATGAAAGGAAAATCAACAGTTGTTGATTCCTAACCTAAAATTTTCAATCCTAAGATTTGTTCCAATTTTGTTTTGGTTCTTATTATCCTTGAATGCTATTTGTCGTTTTATTTACCAGGTAATTGAAACAAAATATCAATTAAATGTTCATGGTTCTGTTTTAACCCATTTAAATCTTATTATTATCTATCTTATGAAAAAGGAATTAATTTTCAATGCTTAACACCTTGAAAAAAAAAAAAAAAAAACTCAAATAAAAAATATTTTACTGAAACATTTTCAAATTTTCCTTTTCGAACAAAATCATTGATTTTTTTCCCCATAAATAAAGTTAACTAGCAACATATGCTTTGTGTAAAACTGCATGTGAATGAAAATAACCTCAACATGGCCTCATGTATGTAAAACACTATAAGCCATGACATAGCTGAGGATGATCGGGAATACAAGTAAGGGGAGGCAACCCTTCGTGGGCACAGGAGCTCAACAAAAGCTGGCAAAGTAAAAACACCAACCAAAACTTCAAAACTCAACTGAAGCAAAATAAATAATAATTATAAAAAAAAAATAGAAAATGGGTGAAAAAAAAAAGATCTGCAATATAACTTGTATGCTGAAAAGAATGAATTTAGACAAACAAATACCTATGCATTTCTATTTCTGTAATATTATAAAACATTTTTCCACTTTAAATAGTTTCTTATATTTCAAACATCTACAAAAGCATCTTGTAGCTTAAGTCATACATAATTCCACAAAATAAATGAAGCCTGAACGAATTTGATACATTACAACAAATTACAGAAATAGAAAAGCATTTTCTTTCTAGGACGAAATACTAATAAATTCATGACAAAATCAATGAAAACCCCAAATGGGATATTTCTTTTTATTGAATTTCACAGAAAGGTAGATAAGCCATACAAAAAAAAGAACATTCAGACGAACTGCCATACACTCCAGCAGACTCACTAGATAAAGAATACAAATGACCAGAGACAATTCAAACGGCCATACAGTGGAACAAATGTAGGAATAAAATGGTCACAGATGCATAAAAGACAACACTGCTGACAACATCGCAGGCAATGTATGTGTTCCTACACGACCCTAACAATGATCGAAGTGACCTGTACAACATCGCAGGCAATGTATGTGTTCCTACACGACCCTAACAATGATCGAAGTGACCTGTACAACATCGCAGGCAATGTATGTGTTCCTACACGACCCTAACAATGATCGCGGTGACCTGTACAACATAGCAGGCAATGTATGTGTTCCTACATGACCCTAACAATGATCGAGGTGACCTGTTTTTCATGCCTATCAGTATTGCTCATGTTATCGTTCGCACTTTTATCTTTAGAAGCTTTCTTACCGATTATATGTTTAACTTGCATGTTCATCATGTTTGTGTATTCAATTTTTAAACACTTAATTTTTTACTGAAATCAATACCCAAGAAATGAAATAAAGAATACCGGACATATCCTAACAAAATACAAAAATAGTCTAGTATATGAAATATTCATGATAATGATTTGGAACAAGTTTTCAAAAGAAAAATTTGATATAAATTTGAGTTTTTCTAGAATAGATTTCAATTTCAAGACTACAACCAGGAGCTTTCAATCTTAACATCAAGATGGACCTGTAAAGAGTGCTGGAGAAATTATTACAAATAGATCAAGATTTATATTTCAAAGATTTTAGTGAAAAGTGTCAAACTTTTATCACTTGGAAAAAACTTGTATTCATCTTTGATAAAGTTGTTTTATTTGTTGTATTGTGTAAATAATTTGTTTAGTCATTTTCATAAAAAATTTCAGACAATTCCTTACCAAAAGAATTGAACGTGTTGAATGTTATACTTTAAATTTATGCGATTTGTTTTTTTAGATATTGATCTTTCTTTCATGAAATTTATATATTTTTTGTTAAAAAACATGACAGAATCACATTGATACTATTTAAGTATGTATGATATCTAACATGTTTGATTATAAATGTATGTCGGAGATTACCCCTCAGTATACTGAGGTTGTTTCTGCTAGCGTCGGTATGACAGACAAAAGCAACCCACCCTACAATAAAGATAGGAATAGCAGGGAAGGAAGGAAACATCTACTGATTATATATATATACAAAGAATACAAAGTACAACATCTTCCTATAAGATATGGAAACAACTGAATGACAAAAGAGGTAAAATTTCATATGTGGTGGGGGAAAAATATATATCTATTTTGCTTTATTTCTTTACCAGATCAGAAATGTCATGGTGCAAATATAAAATAGAGTCATCTAGCCTCACTGATGATTATAGAAAGGTCAGTGCACATTAGAATGACCGCTGGCCTAAGTAGTAGTATATATGTGTTGACCGTAGCCCTACTTAGTACATACATGATGCCCTATACAGTAGATACAGGTGTGTTGATGGATACAGGTGCTCAATGATTACTGTACTTACAAGCTGGTTCTTCTCGTCGGTCAGTTGTTGTTCCTTGTGCCTACCGGATTCTACTTGTCGTTGTAACTCTACACAGAGTAAACAAACAAAATTACTAAAACAAATAATCATGTCAAACCACACATACTACAATATATATAGACTATTTGCGCACTTTAGTAATTATTAAAACTTTTACGACGGGATTTCAGTACGGTTGAACAGCTCTGATGAAACACTAGAAATTGTCAGTAAGACATGAATTCCCATGCTTCAATGCAAATTAGCTAGTGTCATTGTTCAATAATTTACATAAGTTGTAATGCTGCCCTTGACCTTAGAACAATGAAATTCAAAGTCATTTGAGGTAGTCTCAAACTGTACAGGTAATATATACATATTTTTTTTATCATTATACCATCTGTAAATTTTATGAAGTCCTAGGATAGAGCCAATGCCGAGGTGAGTAGTGGCGGAAAGGTGTGTCCTGTTGTCCTTTGCTTGGATACCAGAAGGTATGCAGGGTGATTGGAGAGTAAGGACAAATCTAAAAGGGTACATGATCAATAGCAACAAACTAGCTAGGGACTGATTTTCTTATGTTTATTGGTGTGGTCTACCGGTTTCGCCTGAACATTGTGCTTCATCAGGACAGTTTTACTACTATCTGTAAATTTTATGACAGTAGGTTTCAGGCACATCAAGTAACAATTTTCAGAAAACCAATACCATTCTATTGGACTCTAATACTCTATATGATCCGATGTCTTATAAACACATCAATTCCAGTTCTGTGTAGGGGTATTTCCTTATTTAATTCTTTACGACTTTTGGCTTCTGTATTTCTTTGTTTCTTACCTAAGATTTAAGATTGAAGTTTCTGTATACAATTACTTACCTGAGATTTGTGATTTAAGTTTCTGTATACATTTACTTACCTGAGATTTGTGATTTAAGTTTCTGTATACAATTACTTACTTGAGATTTGTGATTTAAGTTTCTGTATACAACTACTTACCTGCGATTTGTGATTTAAGTTTCTGTATACAATTACTTACCTGATATTTGTGATTTAAGTTTCTGTATACAACTACTTACCTGAGATTTCTGATTTGAGGTTCTGTATACAACTACTTACCTGATATTTGTGATTTAAGTTTCTGTATACAATTACTTACCTGAGATTTCTGATTTGAGGTTCTGTATACAACTACTTACCTGAGATTTCTGATTTGAGGTTCTGTATACAACTACTTACCTGAGATTTGTGATTTGAGGTTCTGTATTTCTGTATTTAGACTGTTAGATGCATCCCCACTGTTTGTAAGTTGTGCTGATAAATCTGTTTAAGTGATACAGAAAAAAGATGATCTAATCAAATGTTACTACATTTCAATTAATGAATTTATTGCTGAACATTACAAGTACAATTGCATCTCTATTCAGGACAGGAATACATCCTCTAATATGTCCTATTTTACATTTTATCTGAAATTGAAAAACTGATTTCTTATAAACTTTGAGTATTTTCACATTGCAAACATTTCAGATAATTTCTGCTAAGTGGCAATTATCATTGCCACAGTAAGTGAACTTTAACTCCAAACAAAGAAAATCTGGTGAAAGATTGGGAAGTTATTCTAATGCTTCAAACACATTTCATATATATATATATATCCTTGAAATTAACACCATTTACTGATAACTCTATCAGTTTTTAGTCAATCAAGTATAAACAAGAGCTGCCGAAGAACATTGATTTATCTTGTCTATTTTAAACCAAGAGAATTGAAACAAGGTAAAAAAAATGTATTTTGTTTCTGTTTTGATGACCTTGTAAATTTGACCGCTTGGAAACACCCAAGCTAAATATCAGTGTATGTAAGGGCTTCACAACACTGTTCTCGATACCCATCTAAGTGAAGTTTCATCAGAAAATGTTCAGCAAACTATAAAATACAGTCTTGACAAGCATAAAAATAAGTTGACATTTGACCCCTTGCTCTGACCTTGAGCTTTATGATATAGAACTGATACTTTGACATCATATTAAGCCTCTTCATATGAAAAATCTAAGATGAATAATCTGAAATCTTCTATAAGATTCCTCAGTTTGGTAATATGTGATATCAAGGTTTAACTTTTTACACAAACAAGGTAGGTATGAAACGTGTCACAAAGTTTCAAGACCGACTGGTCCCTTTGTCAAGCTATGACAATGGTAGAGAGTAAGTCATAGGTCGACAAAGGGACCAGTCGGTCTTGAAATGTTGTGACTTGTTTAATACATACAGGAGGCACGGTAGTCTAGTGGTAGGGCGCCGGGCTCGTGACCCGAGGGTTGTGGGTTCGAATCACGGCACAGCACCGTGTTGTATCTTTGAGCAAGATACTTTACTCCGCTTGGTCCAGTCTACTCAGCTGTAAATGAGTATGTATGTGGTTGGGAAATGCTAGAATTGTTGAATGCTAGCTGTGAGCGCCGAAATGGCAGCTCCGGATGTATGCTCCCCAAGGTGTTGAGAAAGATATTGGCTGGTTCCCAAGGCCCTATAGCCACGGATAATAATTTGTGAACCGCTTTGAGACGACCTACGAACTAGGTTGTGATAAAGCGGTATATAAAAACCTCAATTATTATTATTATTATTGTTTGTGTAAAAAGTAAAACTTTGATATCAAATAATTTGAAGTTATAGGAAGTACATTACAAATCAAAATTTCTAGTTTCCACTTACTGTCGATAGTTTCCTGCAGTTTTTGTCTGCGTATTGTGCTGGTTTTAACTTCTTCATTCTGGGGGGAACAAAATTCAAATTATAGTAAGAACATTTAGGACAGTGAAAAACAGTCGTTTTAATTATCACCTTTTCATCAAAATTTTGTACATGCTTTTTTATCCTGATTTTTGTATGATGGGTAGAGAAATGTACTGATAAGGTATACATTATATGTTATCAAAATCACAGATCGGATTTACTTTTCAATTATGGGAATATGCTGTATACAGAACAAAATTTGACAAAGGATTTTTTCCCCTTCAAATGAATTAAATTCCATGTGAAAATATTAGGATACTTCTTTTCAAACTATCTGTAATCAAAAGGAAATCCCCATATGTTGGATTTCCATATCTATTTTTTGTTTGTTAATTCCACTACCTTCTAACCATGCAAATTTTCTTCATACAAAATTCAAGTGCTGTATTAGCACACAGAATTTTATTTGAAAATCATACAATAAAGTAAGTACACAGATTATAAGTGGAAGTTATAATACAAAAAAAAAGTAATTTTAAGAAATACTTTTATTCATATTTCTTATTTGCAACATAGCAGTGAAAATTTCAAAATATCAACTCATAATCATCTTTTCACATTTGTATCTTTTAAATCAACTTTTGTTTCTAAGATTTCTTATCAAATTGGTATTGAACTTACAGAGAAACTTGACAATTTATAAATATTTGTATCACAACAAAAATCCTTTATGTCCAAAAAACAAAAAGGACACAGAGAGTGAGAGAGAAACTCATGAACTATTTTATATATATATATATATATTTTTTTTTTTAATTTTGATAAAAGCATTCACATGATAACAGACACTCAACTAAAAGTATACTTTAAAACTTGAATTAAATAAAATAGGACAATCAAGACTTGAAATCTCACATGAATGATAATTTTAATTGAAGCTGGATGCAAGGAAATATGTCTGTTTTCCATCTAATGTGTTAATGGTCTCTGGACTTTCATTTTGATATTAAGGCCAAGCTAAAAATTAAAGTTATATTTTATAATTCAATTTTGTTTACATAGACTGATCATTCAATTTTATTCTTTCAGACTGAATACCTGCCACTTTTGGACAAGAACAGGTAGTCATGTTAAATGATTTTGTCTGTCTGCGCTATTATTTAAATACTGATCATCTTGTTTTAGAGACATCACAGGAATCTTAACTTGGCCTAACCGACACCCTCAATACACACTATAGCAGCAAGGCATTTGATCTTGTCATTAAATTGCAAAAGCAGGTGACAATATAGATCAGACCAAATGTTATCCCTATTAAGAGTCTTCTGTGTCGTACTATACAATGATAATATTGTACACCAGCACACAATCATGAAATAGGAAAAGTATCATAGGCAAATAAATGATCATCTGGGCAAGGAATCAATCCGAAATAATACAGACTTATAACACAATGAACCTGTGTTTTTTCTTTACTTTTAAGAAATGAATTATTGAAAATAAAATACATTTAGTTTTCTGAATTCTATCCTAGATTTATTCAAATGGTTCTTTGAAAAATCATGACATTTTACGTATTATTTCATAAATGTAATTTGCGATAAAAAATCAAATACACAGAAAAGGTACTCATATATATTGTAGCCTCATTGTAGACCAATCCAGTCTCTTCTGTACACTGCTGATTGTTCAAACTCTGTTCATTTTCACCCAAAAAAATGTTTTTGTATAAATAGGTTACATCTTGCTTTGACTATGATGTTTTGATAGCTATGAATGTATATGTACAACTAATTATCATAACAGTGCTACTGATGTCCAAATGTACTATTTTCCATTTTATATTATTCGTACTTTAATGAAATTGAATGAAAATTCCCGAGATCCAATTCAAGAGCTGTATATAATATTATGGCTTGAATGTTACAGACTATTAAAACAATGATTCATAAAAAGCAAAATATTCATAGATTTCTAGTGGTCTCGAATACTTTGAGAATTTGTAAACATATATTTTTATAAAGGAAATTAAGTTTTAAAATGACTACAAACAGGTTTTGAACAATCACATATCTCTGGTTAGTAAATTAATTGGTATTTCTATATCAATGCTATCGTCCAGAGATCAATAACTTAACAAAAAGATCCATAATGGACAGGAGCGAAGGTCAAATCAATGACAGTATATATATAGTCTTACAGCATAACAAGCAGAGGTGTACTCTAGGTGGACAACGTAACTAGTCTATCGTAAATCATAAAATCGTATCGTAAATCAGAAAATCATATCTAGTATCGTAAATCATAAAATCATATTATATCAACAGCCATGTAAATAAACTGACAGCCACTGCAGCTGAAAATGGAGAAAAATACAGAAAAGGAAAAAGTACAAAAACAATGTAACAAGAATATCACATTTACAGTATGTATTATACTGTTTTTCTACGGAATCAATTCATTATAATTGTCCATATACTATTGTCTTAAAGAAACGAGCTAACTTGAGGAATTTCTTTTTTAAAACTTTTTTTTACATATACTGTTTAATAGTTATTTGGCTTTTTTTCTTTTTATTGTTTCCTTTGCTATTCTCAAAAATTGTTTAGCAATGTCCTACCTACTTACCAAACTCCCTAACTAAGGTATTGTAATCCTACTACAATACTCTACCACATTCAGTCCCACTAAATACCACCATCTACACAGTCAACATTAGAGATTAGCATGTAGGGTTTTGCCTCCTCAAACCTAATACCATTTCTACCTCTAAGATGGAATGCATAAGAAAAGACAACTATGATTTCCACTTTACATGAATGACAAAAAATATATTTGCAAAAAAAGTTTGATTTCATGAGCTACACTTCTTTTGATAAATTATGATCTCAGATTAGCATATTCCTAAATGATGTATGCAAGCTGTACTAGTCATGGTAATAACTTGGCTAATATGCAAAGAAAGCAAGATCAAAATACAACCAAACCTCATTATTGACAACCCAATGGTCCCATGTATTGTCTTAAAACATTTCAACTTGCATATTAATTTATCAAATATCTTCTTTATCTCAGAAATCTACTCATGGTCCCAATGACTTGTAAATAAAGCAGTTTGACTGTAAAATCAAATTACAAAAATTAACTGAATAATCAACTAAAAACAGCATACACCAAAATTAAAAGTAAGGGGAGGTTACTCCAAGCCAGACAAGGGACCGGTTTTAAGTGCAGTGCCGTGCAGGGAAAGTGTTGTGGTCTTTCCCTTACCTTCCCTTTTGTGCTGACAAAGTATTAGTATATACACACTTAGGGGCTAACATGATCCCAGTCAAGTAAAGCCTCCAGTCGACACAGACCATATCGCTATAGAGACAGGAAAAAAACGTCAAAATTTACAATTATCAACCTGTCCAAAGTTTTCATTATGATCAGTCGACCTAGACCATAGGACAATAAACATATTTATACGATAAAAGTTTGAATATCAGATCCTCAATTTTTGTGGTTTCATCGTTAACAAGCTTAATGTGTAATTAAAATTATACCATATATGTATCGTTTTATATCATTTAAAATGAAAATTGATATAAATTGTATCTTTTTGATTCTTTAAACAAATCACAATAAGATATTTTCCAACATGTTTTCAAGCATATTTATTGATTTTTCCTCTCTACTTTTTGTATACACTGTGATATTGACAGTTTGACAAAATATTATCATAAATCATACTATATAACTCCAATAACTGGGAGAGGGTGAAATTACTTATGCACCAAGTACTTATATGGTATAATTTTGATGAAAAAACATATTTGTTAACGCCCTAAAAGAAGGAGCTTTGATTTGACAGAGATCATCACAGTAACATTAGGTTGTGGTGAGGAATGATGGCGAAATAAAAAGTGGACCCATCAAACCAACTCATTATGTATCATAAATCAGCTGGAAATCATCACCGCCTGTAGCACTTGCATTTTTTTTTTATACCATCAGTCAAATTTGAGAAGTGTATGTCACAGAACTTAAGTTTTCCATAAAATAGGTCAGAAAATTTCATTTTCCTAAATTTTTATCGAAGTGAAAATGATTCCAAGCTGATTTCATACAAATTCAACATCAATTCATAATCAAGAAAACAAAAAACAAAAAACCACACCAGCTGATCCAAACTTATCTCCAATTTTCCAGGAATAAAACATTTAAGTAATACAATAAATGGAAAAGAACCATCCGTGTTGACTAGCAGTAGTTTTTAATATTTCCCCCAAGAAACCTTAATACAATTCCATCAAGCAACATTTCCAACACATTAATTAGGTGATATGCTATATTCATCTTTACAATAAGGCTACATCCAATTTTTTTTTTTCCCAATTATCATAGGATTATAGCATTACTTATTTATGTTTAGTCTAGGTTAAAAATAGGTTCATTCAAACTTCATTTTTTTTTTTTATTCAACAACAAAAATAACACCTATGATAACTCCAGTTTATACAACTTTTGTATGATTAGATCACGATGCTCATGCATTTATATTATTTCCTTTACCTCATTCACCCCTCAAAATTTCGTAATGAACTATTCCAATCGTTGTATTGGAAGAGTTCAAATGTGCCTTCAGGGGTGGATGGGTTAAACATTGCAATGATTATTGAGCGAAATCAATTATACTATATTAATGTGCAATTACATCAATTTCATTTGTGCAAACTCAGATAGCTGTAAGGCTTAAAAGCAAACAAAACACTGAACTAATTATGGCAAAATAAAAATCTACATTAAATATATATAAAATTAATTAACTGGACATAATTCTAAATCTAAAACTTTACATTTCAATGTAAGCAAAGCAAAACAGTCTGGTCATGGATGTAACGGTCAGGAAAAAAATCAATTATGAAGGAGAGATTGGAAGGAATGCAAGACAGCAAAGAGAAAGGGCAGACAACCTCAAAAGGGAGATAACTCTGTGTGATTTTCACAAACACCCTCAGAGACATGTTATCATAATTGTGACTACAAGAACACCCTAAGTCAAGTGATTTGGCTAGGTCTCCTAGCATAGATACCTGTGAGAAATACTTATAGTTCCTCTGAAAACATTCAATTTCACATAAAATATAACAACTTATATTTCAAACATCTACAGGAGAAAAAATCTGAGCTTGTGTTTCCAAACTGACCTACAAATATTTAATATTGAACAAAAAAAATACAGTATAAAATAAATGAAAATTCTAAGTTACTTTAATGAACATATTTAATTAAACATATTTGCATTCTATGAATATATTTAATATGCATTATAATTTTTCAAAAGTGAAGAACAGATTCCAGTCTTGCCTTTTTTCATAACCCCTTTCAATAAATTTCTGTCTTACTAGAGGTGATATAAAACAAGAGTAAGCAGAGTATGCAAAGCAATAACAAATCAAAACAAGACAAACGTCAAGCCAGACCTCAATACTGTCATAAATCTGACCTTGGGGTCAAACTCAGAAGTCAACCAATCAAATGAGGCATTCATTAATTTAAGAATCAATTGCCAAATTCCATTGGCTGACCGTTCAATACAGAAAATGTATTACTCGGAATACATTCTTTCTTCTTACTAATAATTCTGGATATTCCTTTATTGACTTAGTAAATTGTTAAAAAAAATACGGACCGGTTTTCATGGATTTAGCTAGATAATACAGGAGATCTCAAAATTAATTCATACTTATGTATAGATACCTGTATGACACCTGTGTAACACTTATGTATAAACTTGTTTAAGTTAATACACATTATGTTTAAGTAAATACACATACCTTTGTATATAGGGACAAATAAGGTTATATCTCTCACCATATATACACAGACAGACAACATTTGACGACACTTGTATATATAGCAGACAGGAGAGAATAAAGGTCAGTACATCTACACTCCTACTCACCAGTTCACTGAGCTTGTTCTGAAGTTCTTTCACTTCACGGTTACGCGAGGAGAGTGTGTCTTCAAGCTCTGCAACCTTAGACGACTTCTCCTCTAGTTCTATGCTTACTTGGCTGGTCTGCAGGAGAGAGAATATCTGACATTGTAAAATACATGCACTCTGTGTTCTAATTAAAAACTAGTTGCCTGCTAATAATCAACTTTGAACTGGCAACTTTTCAAAATATATTACCATTATTGCATGTGTACATTCAACCAGCTGTTTTTTTTTCCAATTCCGCCACTGGTTTCAAAACTTTGGAAGAACACTGCAAACCATGTCTTGTTATGTATGTACCAGAAATGTTCCTATTTGAAAAATGGTTCCAGCTTGTACCGGTCCTAGGGTGGTGGCTATGTATTACGGGTCGAACTGATTACAGACATGGTGTGGTGACACTACAACAGGGGGTGATGACTATCAAGCATTAGACTTTGTGAGTATAGATATGCTCCGACTGCCGATAACGACCAGAGAATAGTCCACGTTTACCCATTTATTGGACGACAAAATCACATATTGCCTTTGTACCGTGAAGTCACAATCATTGACATCATTACTGGTACTAGTGAAGATATCTCGTTTTTCTTCATCTTAAGTGAGTATACCACTTTTGTCATTCTGATAATTTTTGAATATTTCATTAGTGAAAATGTCATAAAACTATTTTCAATATAAAATCTTTCATAATGTCATAAGTAAATCTGACATGCTAAAATAGACAATGGGTATATAAAACATTAAGCCTAAAATTATACACATAGAAACTAAAAAAATATTTTCATATTTCATGTTTAACCCACTTAAAATTTAATTATGTCCTCCTTTTTATTTTTTTTTCAATTTCAGAGAAATCATATATATATCTTTCATTTAATGTGAATTTTGAATATCTAAATTTTGATTACTCAAAACAGGTTATTTACATAAATGTTATCTTTATTTCCACTAATGAATTTGGGATTGTATCAGATACATACGTTTTGTATTGTATGACACTGAGTAAGATAAAAAAAATACAAGAATTTTTAGTTAGCGTCGCATATTTAAAACAATAAACATTAGCACTACATAGCACTGTAGTGCTATTCTTGCGAAAAGAAGGAAGGAAATCAATACTCGACAGCGGTAATGAGTTTATAGGTCAATGCTTGCTATACACTAGGATGTTACTGGGCCCACAGTCATATATGTTACCATGTACATTCTGAACAGGGAAATGTAGGAACCATACTTACAATGACAATGTCATGTCCAAAGTTTTCATTTAAACGATAGATAAAGGTAAAATATATACATGTAATTTATGATTGATATTATTGTACCTGGTAATATGATGTAAAAGGAAAATCAAAAATATTTCAAATTAATTTTATTTTTAAAATACTTCACCCGGTCATCAATAGAACATGCAAAATATACCTTGGCCCCTTCCTCAAGTCTTGAGGACTCATAACCTTTGACCTTGTTTTCAGCCTGAGAAAACTTGTGTGTGAGTTCCTCTATCTGGTCCAGGAAGACAACATTCTGGTCCTCTGTTTCGGTCAGTCTCTCTGACTTGTCCTTCAGCAGGGCCTGTGTGTGGGAGAAGTAGGATACAATACCAGAAGGAATGGATTTGTGCGACTCAGAATCATGTATAACGATAAATAACAGAATGCTACACCTGTGACATGTCCTGTGCGCTGAGTAATTTGAGAAAGTTTAAAAAATTGCAGAATATTCCAAATTTTGGTTAATGGACGAGATGCACACATCTGATATTTTCTGTTTTTAAAAAAAAAAAACTATAAATATACCCAAACCCATGAAGATAAATAGAAATAAGAGCACACATTGTCTTTAATGCATGTTCAGCTATAAATATGATTTTTTTTTTTACTCTAGACCTCCAGTAACATAAGTAACAAATATAATTTGTGTATGAACCTTAAAACCAAACAGCTCCTGTTCAAATTTGTCTGCCCTTTCCTTCTCCCGTCGCAGAGCCTTCTCCAGGTTCTTCAGCTTGGCTTCCTCTTCTTCTGTCCTGGACTGGGTAAGTTGTAAGTCAAAAATTAATGATAAAGTACACTTGCATTTCCCCAACTTACATGTATGCATTTAACCTGTTTCTACACATTCTTTAAAGTAAAAGTTGAAGTTTTATAATTCATTTCTAATTTCCTTTTCATGGTTTTGTCCAATATGTGGTAGTTTGCACTGAAGTAAGGATAGTGAATTGTACATTATTTTTTAATTACTACTCGAAAAAATCCTTTGATAACTGTAGGGTTTTTACGGTGTTCTTTTGGGAATTGCCACTTTCTTCCCTTGGAAAATAATTGATGGCACTGTTAGAAGAGGAATATCTAAATCTCCATAGAATGGAGCCGAATTTCAACCAAAATTTACGGGCGATAAAGCCCTGAAAAACCCCTGTTACCTCTAAATCATCTTTGGTTATGGATTCCTCTTCTATCTGGAACTGAAGGTCCTCTACTTTCCTGTAATACAAAACATATTATCAAGTGGACATATTCCTCCACAGTTCTCCTGTAACATCCTTCTGGAGAGGACCATCCTAAGAGGCTATAAATTGTATTTCATCAATACGGATTGTCGTTTGCTTTCATGAAATTTCTGCAGAACAAATCCGCAAGAAATCATGTTGAAAGTCAATTTTGTTAACCAACTGTTGAAATGATAATACGTGTGCATGTTATTTGTTTTTCTCTAACGTTCATTAAGGGAAAACCCACAGGTTATGTCATAGACGATCTTAGCCAGAAACATTCAAACAGTTTGTTCTTTGATTAAATTTACAATTATGAAGGAAAAACACAACAAATTTTGTGCAGACCCATTCTTTGATATTTATGAGATGTGATTGGTAATCTACAACATATTTTCCTATTGGTTTTAACAAATAACAGTATTTCTTGAACCTCTTCTCATCCTCCAGTTTACAGAGAATTTCTGCCTTCTCCTTCTCCAGCTGTTGTATATGGCTCCTTAACTTGACTACAGCATCGTCTGTATCCTCCTTAAGACGCTCGCTCTGAACACGCATGGTTGTGAGTTCGCCCTCCGCCTGGTCACAACATAAAATGAGGCAGAATATGATGGGCAGTCCAACAGGCAGGTATCGGTAATTATGCATTCTGGATACCCTTTACAAAATTTCAACAATTTCTTACAACAACTTTAAAATTTCTAAATGGTTTAGACTTTTCTTGACTTCACTAAATGCTGCCTACAATATTCCATGGATTTTTCATGAAAAATATTCACATTTCATTTTCGTATAAATTACACAGAATTATAAAATCATCATCACTACCACACAACAGGGGAGATAACTCACCTCGTCTACATGGGCTGCAGCACGAGCGACCTCGGCCCTCTCTAGGTCTCTCTCCCTAAGCAGCTGTTCTATGTGTTCCTCCTTCTCCTTTAAAGCTTTCTGTGAGTGACATCAAACACGTATAAATATATATGGTCATTGGAAACTGGACACAGGCAATTTACTGTAGATAGTGGCCGCCATTCTCTTATACAGTGTTCAACAGTGGGTAAAAATGTCTACCAGTACTGGACTGGGAAAATAACAATTCTAAAAGGCTAAAAGTTCTTCTTATTTTTGATACAGCATAAGGACCTTGTTAAGGTAATATGTAAAACCTGAAGTAATTTACATTTGATTTTTAACAAACTTTATTATCGAAAATTATGATGCAGTGTTAAATTTCCAGACTTTCCAAGAAGGACGTCTGTGTGACAGAAATTTCACCAATAATGTTTAGATTTAAATGAGGAAAAAAAACATTGATTAAAGAATTAGTTCCCTGTCCTTAATAAACCTAGATTAATTATGTTACTTCTGGTTAGGAAACATAAACCAATCAGCTAAGCACTGCTATACACAGCTAGACATTCCAAAGTAATGAACATTACACACTATATATTGGTTCCTTCTACTGGCAGACACCAAACATGAGGTTAACATCACGTATTATTAATTACAACATGGATACCCTTGGTTTATTTAAAGGGCAAAAAAGTGCTGTAATTAATTATCATTAACATCAGATTATTGTTTATAATTAACCAACATTTAACCCTTTCACCCCTATGTAACTTTAGTAGACTCTACCATGCATTGATCTGGATGAGACCATTTTGGTCTACAGAGGTGAAAGGGTTAACACATACGACATATTATAAGTACACGATATCCTCTTCTATAATACTGTACAACAGGTAGTCAGTACAAAATATCCTGAACTATAATACATGTTCTGTTTTATTGGTTTAACGAGGGAGCTGTTTATTTTTTTTTATTCACTGCCAAAAAATATTATATAATTTGGCAGTAACAATATAAACCCATTAGTTAGTAGAAATTTGATTTGAAGGTTTTAAACTGCTGATTTCCGTCTACAGCGAAATCAAATAACCATGAAAATGACAACATTATGTACAGTATTATACGTGGCAGGTTCACATCCACACATGACATACTATGACATGTACACAGACTTTATCATACTAAACAATTATATACAATGACATGTACAGACTTTCTATCATGTTATATAATTAGATAATGACATACAAGGACATTTACCCTGTACATTTCAAAGACATGAATACACAGAGGACCTAAAATACAGGTGACACACTAGTAAAATTATCGCACCCAAAACGCAAAAGATATTAGAGTTAAATTACAGGGTCGAAAACACCCCCTACAGTTTAGTCTAATGTTAGTAAAATAATAGGACCCAAAACACAAAGGACACCCTGGTAGAACTACAGATCCAAAATACACAAGAAACCCTCATTAAACTACGGATTATTCGAAGATCCAAAATTCACAAGACACCTTGGAAGTAAATCAATTGGTTTTATCAATCAACACATGCATTTGCATTGGTATATCATTGCGGAGGACTCAATGACACGTCTGGTCATTGCTATGTATCTTATAGGTATTATTACTGACTATTTCGGGATCAACTTTTATAAAGGTTAGGTCTAGCAGTCTAGTTTAAGTATATGCAGCGAAACGTTGTTATACAGTCAGCTTTTATAAAGCAAAATATTGGCATTATAAAGAGGTTTGGCAATATAATGAAAAGTATGTGAATAGAAATGGTTAATTAAAAGGAGAAAGGGCCCTTAAAATATCTTCGTGATAACCAGGGTGACAGATGAATAGAGGGGCGTTATATCGAGTTTTTACTGTTTGTGTCGGGGCGGATTGCCTCGAAAATTTGACAAATTCCTTTTTCTGCACTGTCGTTATTACTTAATATTTGATTATGTGTCTATAATACATATCCAACCAACATTTGTTTGTTCAGATCCAGTGCCCATATTGGATCATACTGTCGTTATTACTTATGTCATGAGACCTATTTGTTTTAAAACATGGTGACTTATTCTTTTGAATAATCTACAACATCACACAGACAGTACACCTGGACATTCAGAACACACTCATATTTCCTCCTTGTCTTCTAGCTAAAGTCGATACCACTTAATAATGTGATACAAATGTACTATAATTTATGTCACGATAATCATAATGATGTTCAAGCATGTTTTTTGGTGGTTTTTTTTAATCGAGAAGGTGCTGAAGCCCTTATTGTTGTTCAAATTTAAGCATCTGTACAGTAAATAAGGAAATGAAGTTTTGTTCTGCTGGAAGAAAAATTGAAAGTTGGATCTAAATGGGTCAGTACAACCATACACGAACAATTTCAAAGGAATGTTTAACAAATCATCCTCGCCAAGAATTTTGTAATTTTACTTCATTTTCAGAATTCAAATTAAATGCTGGACTGAACTTCTACTGCGGAGATATCAACCACTACAGTTATGCACATGCTTTGATACATATATACCAACACATTTTGAATGTGAACCATTTGAACAAATGCACGAAAGAAACCTTTTTTTATTTTTTTTTCAATATTTACCATCCCATTAATTACACACAATGTACAAAGGGTATACACTTCATACCACAGACATCTACAGTGGGCCGACATAACATGCAAGTACAATATTTGATAAACAGATGTAGCTCCCCGGAGCTGGACCACGTGTCAGACTCACCTGTAGGGCCGTAGTGGTGGCGGAGAGGTTAAGGGTGCTGGGTCGCTGGCTGTTTTTGGCCTGTGTTAATACCAGAGACTTCCCATCAGACACCAATCATTAGTAGCAGTGGCATTAACTCATTCACCCCTACATATCTAAACTGGACTTGCCCAGTCATTGATTTGGTAAGGTTCAAATGTGACTTTAGGGGTGAATGGGTTAATAGAGGTGGCAGAGGGCAGGTCAAAAATAACAATATTATCTCCCCTTGATTGTTTTCATCTCAATTGATTTTTTATATTGTTATACATCATTGAAAATTTTAGAATATTATTTTCCTTGATTGTTGAAAAGCTTTTTTTTTATATTCAAATAATGTTTCAATTCAATATATAATTTTACTTCGTTTATTCTACATACGGTATGCATGAACATTTGAAAAGTTTATTCCGTTAGCTGTACTCTTGATTTGGTGCATGTAACTATTTCCGAAAAATATTTGATCACTTAATTAGTTATATAAATATTTTATTATTTTGTACACTGCAAGCTGTACTCGTGAATTGTTGCTTTGAACGATTTCTAAAAACCTTCACTATGATATATAAAGGTATCTTTTGTTTGTACTATGACCCTTAAAGTTATACTTTTTTTATTCGTTCATCTATAAATTGTAAGTTTCTCATAAGATTGCTTAAGTCAATGGAAAACGATTATTAAAATAAGGGCGAACTCTAAAACCTTCATATTTTAACCATTTTAGGTTCTCAGATACTGATTTCTTTGTTACTTAGCCTTCCCTACCTCCCTCCCCCATTCCAAACTATACATTTCATAACTTCCTCCATAATAATTACTTTCAAACTTTAATAGGTGACTATTTAAATTTAAATTTTATTGCATTCATGCATACAGGTTGGATTAACAAATGAATATATCATAGTGAATATATAATTCTGAAGTGCAAAAAGAGAGGTAGCAAACAATATGTTAAGCAAGTTATTTAATAGTTAATACTTAACTGACATTTAGGGTCCCTCAACTATCAAAGCAACAGATCTAGAACTAAACTATATTGTCGATCTCATATAATATAGTGCAAAGCTATGAGAAAAATATTTCAGTTTACCCTTCTATTTCATTTTTCTTTTTTTATTATCAAATTTTTACCAATCCAATCAAACTTGACTAAGTTGTGTTCAGATTAAAGTTCATCATACTCAAAATAATGTGTACCAAGTTCACTAGCAAGGAAGAGTTTTCCTAAGTTCATTTTACGGGTGCTTGAAATAATGTGGCTGACATTTTTTAACTTTTGTTAAGAAATGTTTACATTTATTTATATACGACTACGATATTGATATTTTACTGCAGCCTCTACCACCAAACTTGAGTGTTGTTACAAACACAGAAACACATGATTAACATCAGTTTGTGAAATGAAGGAATTAAGAACAGTATTACTCCACACAACCTGTAAACATGTTAGACGTTCAGATTTATCATATTCTGTATCACCTAAACGTTTTAACGACAGAATTAAATATTCCTCAATCTATCACTGATAAAACTGATCTGTATAATTCTGTAATACCAATCAAATTTTGTTTTTATGAAACTAAGATTACACATATAATATTGTTGTTTAGAAATAAGATGAGCTAGAACAATACAAATTATATTAGACAGTTTATTAATTAGAATTACATATTATTGCTCGCAAAGAATAAATAAAATCAGAATGATCAAAACTCTATTTAGTTCCTTCAGTATTTTGAAACCTAAATATTGTACATGTAACAGGATTTAACAATCAGATGCATTTTGTCGACATCACTTTAATCAGAATTTCTGTCAATGTCAACAGAACATTTTATGTTAAGCTTATTCAAAATTATTTTGTGCTAAAAATCAATAAAACCATAAATCATGTAAACCTTTAAGAAAAATAATCGCAAAAAAAATATGCAAATCAATGAAATGTCAGCCTTAAAAATTCAGCCAATAAAAACATAACACTGATTTTATAACAGAGCTATTCTTTTGGCATGCTTCATCGCCTGAGGTATGATTATAACTCATATAAAGATAACAATACTGCATCTTAAAGAAAATAAATAGTCATTACATCTGAGGATAAAGAAATTTTATCCATCTATTAGCATGTTAAATTTTGAGTTCTTTGAATTAAGGTTATGACTTGATTTGACATTTACACACATGCAAACTTAACTTGGCCTTCATCGTTGTCCTACAGACAACATAATTATGCAAACATATTATTAAGTAACACAGTTAAAAAATAGAAAGATGCAGAAAGTTGTAATAAGCTTTTTAAGTGGAACTGTTCAATTTTCCAAAACGAGTAACTATATAAATAATATACAATTGACTTTTGGATCCGGTTGTCCAAAGCTTTGTTACTTTGAAGAGTAATTCAATCACATTTTTCAAATGAAATTTTCAATTTTTTATTAATATTTCATATTTTTTTTCTTCAGTTGATTGATATAAATTCATGTACACCTGTGGTCTGACTTTTGAACTGGATTTCATTTTATGGAAGAGGTGCTTCACGAAACATTTTGCATGAACTTTTCATTAAGCTAAGTATATAACTGGCTTTGACCAACCAAACCCAGATATACTTATACCTATATCATGTAACATCAAGTGGGCCTGAAGAACCTGAATAAGGCTGCAGGAAGGCCTTAAGCAGCCAGTCCTGTGCGTTTGTTGGTATACATCTACATGTATATAATACAACACAGCTACAAGTCAGGGTTGTCTGTTACCTCAATCTTAAGACAATTTTAAAAACGTGAAGAATTCTAAAAAAAAAAATCTAAAAAATCTGGGATCAATCCTTTTATAAGACAATTTAACTCATTTACCCCCGAAGACACATTTAAACTCTTCCAATTCAAAGTTTGGAATAATTCGTTATGAAATTCAGGGGTGAATGAGTTAATAGAAACTTGACCTTTATAGTCCTGTGATACTGAAAGTAGTCCAGCTACAGTATACTAAGAGAAATTTTCGCTGCAGGATGAATTTATCATTACATTGAATATAAGGTAATAACAGCTCAATAAACATTGTAATTAAATGTGAAGGGCGAAATTTTAATTGGCAAAAATTGATTTCATGAGCGAAGGTTTGACCAGGCAAAAATTTCTCTGTACACAGTCTACTGCTATATACATGTATATATGTGGCTTTAGGATTTGAACAGTTCCATTGTCATCTATATGTAATATATAAGAATGAGATTACGAGATTACAAAGTGGTGAGGATTACAGAATGAGTGAAGCGTGGAGGAAGCATTCAGGCCAAAACGTAAACACCATGCACACCGCATGTTTTGTACGGATACATATATTCATGGTACGTCAGAATTCCCAAAAATTTTCTATGTCATCAACGATACCCTAAAAACATCTCTGTATATTATATCCATGCATAAAAACAAATCAGCGAAACTGATTTAAAATTGCGTTCAATCATGATCATCTAGATGCTCTGAGCTGTTACTCAATGTCTGGAATCTACTGAGTTATATATATATAAATATAAAAGCTCTGCATGAGAAAAATACCAAATCCAGCAAAAAACACACAAAGCTACACAATTCACACGTAGTGCTAGCTGTTTATGAGCAGCAACTGTGAGCCCCACTCTCTGATGGGGAGCCTGACAATGCATCGGCATATGAATCACTTTCTGGTCCCGAAATCCCAGGATGACGGCTTCATTGATTAAATAGAACACAGCTCCATATTGTTGACATCACTAACTTGGTGTATAGAGGCGATTCATTTTTACAGCAGCAAGACTTCTATCACTGTTTCTAGTGTCTAGGAATTATAATAGATGTTGTGAACAGGGATGATCTTCTAATGGATTTGTCATTGAACTGATTTTAAGGAGGTCTAAGGTTAGGGGTGGGGCTGCCGGGTTCGATGAGCGGTGTTGTTGATGTCAGAGAAGATATATTTCGATTCCTAATATTAAATCCAATATTATCTTGTGTTGTACCACACATTATATGACAAAGCAGGAGAAAATCTGATGTTTTAAAATAAACTCAAGCATTACCTTTTAACACCTAGTGTTTATTTTCTATTTGATATCAATATGTGAAGCTGACAACACCAGTCAACAAGATCTCATTTCAACAAGATCTAATGTCAACAACAAGATCTAATGTCAACAAGATCTAATGCCATCAAGATCTCTTCATTTCCTATATGAAACTTTTAATACAAACCTTTGATGCACTTAGAGACCAAAGGATTATTTTAGTTTCATTATATAATTGCCAGCGTAAAGTATAACCAAAAGGAATGTTTCCGAAAGATTTTTTGTTTGTTTTATATACAATATGCCAATGGAAATTTACAATGTACATGGATAATCCCGGAGGAGGCCATATGCATGGGGCCATTTAATTTTACATACAAGGGCCCCTCTTAATTTTTGATATTGACAAAAAATTGCTGAAATGGCCCACTGCTCTCAAATTCCAGAATTTTCCCTGATGTACTATATGACAAAGCTAAAACAAGGTTTATTAAAACTACCATAACACATGACTCCTTCTCGGGTAAGTAGCTCATGATGACAATGTGAAAAGCTGGATTTGTTATCATTTCTGTAAGCCACCTAGACACTAAGGTCTGTGCAGGCATGTATAAAGGCATTCCAGTGAACATTGTTAACATTTTATTTCTATCTGTGTATCTCCCCTCACATGAGTATGTTGATGTATACTACAGTGAGATTTATACCTGCCTACTTTCTATGTACACAATACACCTATGTAAGGTGTGTTATTGTGGACCTGCTCAATGACGGTTTAGATGCCATCTCTATTAGCACTCATCCATCCAGAGCTTTTACATACTGTATGTTTATGACATTGGTAAGGATATAGAAAATCCTGATAAAGATACGACGCTTCTCTTGTACATTACATCTACTTGGGTGATCTAGAAATACCTAACATAACATAACATATCATAGACTGGACTTCAAAAACGTTCATGGACACCTTTAAACTTCATGACTGAGTTTT